AATTCTCCTGCCTCAGCATCCCAAGTAGCTGGGATTACAGGCACGCGCCACCATGCCCAGCTAATGTTTTGTATTTTTAGTAGAGACGGGGTTTCGCCATCTTGACCAGGACGGTCTCGATGTCTTGACCTCGTGATCCACCCGCCTCGGCCTCCCAAAATGCTGGGATTACAGGCATGAGCCACCGCGCCCTGCTGTTAAGGGTCATTCTAAATGATATTCTTGACCCTTGAAATGAAAGACAGTGTTCCTGAGTCTTTTTCATTTTTCCAGTGATAGCCACTTGTACATATTTGATTTTTCTTTTTTTCCTGACAGTCTTGCTCTGTCACCCAGGCTGGAGTGTAGTGGCGTGATCTTGGCTCACTGCAACCGTTGCCTCTGGGGATTTAAGGGATTCTCGTGTCTCCGCCTCCTGAGTAGCTGGGAGTATGGGCACATGCCACCATGCCTGGCTAAGTTTTTGTATTTTTTTAGTAAGATGGGGTTTCACGACGTTGCCCAGGCTGGTCTCGAACTCCTGAGCTCAGTCTGCCCGCCTCTACCTCCCAAAGTGGTAAGATTACAGGTGTGAGCCACCATGCCCAGCCTGATTTTTTTTTAAATGTTTTTATTATTTATTTTTGAGATTGAAGTGTCTCACTTTGTCACCCAGGCTAGAATGCAGTGGTGCGATCTTAGCGCACTGCAACCTCTGCCTCCCAGGTTCAAGCAGTTCTCCTGCCTCAGCCTTCCAAGTAGCTGGGATTATAGGCACACACCACCACACTCTGTGAATTTTTGCTAATTTTTGTATTTTTAGTAGAGACAGGGTTTTGCCACGTTGGTCAGCCTGGTCTCAAACCCCTAACCTCAGGTGATCCACCCGCCTTGGCCTCCCAAAGTGCTGGGATTCTAGGTGTGAGCCGCCTCTCCCGGCCTGCATATTTAAGTCAACCAATTTGTTCACTGCCTCTTTTTTGTAATATTGGTCTCTCCCGCCACTATTTTTGCTCCCTGTCTTCCTCATTAGTGAGGTCGCCATGTCAATGGGATGACTTTGTTCCCGATTTGGCTGTGTCAACAAATTGTATCTTGACTTTTAATTTTCGTATGTGGAATATAAGAGTCACTCTAATTGCCAGCAGAGAGTGCTGACCTGAATAGCATCTTAGTCTATCTGTGGGTTTATTTAAAAATTAAAAGTAGGCAAGAGACTTGGCTGGTCCCTGTCTGCCAGGTTGGTGTTATCTTACTGGCAAGTGATAGAAACTACATAGTTGTCATGTTGGAGACATGCGATTGTCAGCATGGCGGCTCTGGGAATGATTGCAGAAAGCAGAAGACCCCCAAGACTGAGGTTCAGCCTCCCACGACCCCTCAGTCCCCCGGTGTTTTGTGACCGTGGGTGACCTCACCACAGCCACAGTTGCTTTCATTTTCAGGTACCCATTCCCCATGTTAAAATAAAATTCTTGGCCGGGTGCCATCCCTCATAACTGTCATTTCAGCACTTTTGCGGGGCTGAAATGGGTGGATCACCTGAGGTCAGGAGTTCAAGACCAGTCTGGTCAACATGGTGAAACCCCATCTCTACTAAAAATACAAAAATTAGCTGGGTGCAGTAGTGTGTGCCGGTGGTCCCAGCTACTCAGGAGACTAAGACAGGAGAATTGCTTAAACCCAGGAAACGGAGGTTGCAGTGAGCTGAGATTGCGCCACTGCCCTCCAGCCTGGGCAGTAGAGCAAGATGTCATCTCAAAAAAATAAAAAGGAAAAAAAAAGAAAATTCTCAGCCAGATTAAATTTAATGGAGCTTAATTGAGCAAAGAACAATTCGTGAATTGGGCAGCCTCCCTAGCCAGAGCAGGTTCAGAGAGACTCCAGCACAGTCATGTGGTAGAAGAAGATTTATGGACAGAAAACGGAGTGATGTACAGAAAACAGAAGTGAGGTACAGAAATAGCTGGATCGGTTACAGCTCAGCATTTGCCTTATTTGAACAATTTCAACAGTTAGCCCTGTTTGATTGGTTGAAACTTGGTGATTGGCACAAGAGTAGGTTACAGTCTATTTACATGTCCGGTGAGGTTATAGTTCACTGTGTGCAGAGAATCCTTTAGGCCAAACTTAAAATATGTAAGGAGGCAGCTTTAGGCCAAACTTGATTTAACACCATAACAGAATAGCTAAGAATAGTTGCAGCAGCTCCAGGCCTATCCTGTTAGATTAGCAACATCAGCAGCAGGAAAATGCTTTTCTCCAGCACTTTTCATTGACCCAGTTTTGTTATGCTCCCTACCCCGACCCAGCATTGGTGACCCGTTGTATAGAATAAGTAGGTCGATTGGATTAGGTCTAATGCTCACCCTGGGAACTGGGAGCAGAGTTCATCCCACCAGGCCTGGAGGAACTGAGTGTGGGGGAGAGATGTTTTCTCAAAGAGAATTTGGGGTATTAAGCCTGTGAGATGGAGGAATGGGTGCCAGGCAGACAAAAGCAGCAAATGGACACCAATGGGAGGTGCTTCTCTTCCTCCCCTAGACTGCGGTTCACCTCCATTCAGGCAGCAGTCACCAGGAGTTAGAATCTGACTCGACAGGTTTGAGGGCAAGGCCCTTAGTAAGACAGCCCTGGCTAGGTGTGGTGGCTCATGGCTGTAATCCCAGCACTTTGGGATGCTAGGTGGGAGGATCCTTTGCGCCCAGGAGTTCGAGACCAGCCTGGGCAACATAGTAATACCCCATCTCTACAAAAAATAAAAAAATAGTAGAGGGTGGTGCTGCACCTGTACTTCTAGCTGCTCGGGAGGCAGAGGCAGGAAGATCACTTGTGCCCAGGATGTCGAGGGTATAGTGAACCGTGGTCGCACCACTGCACTCCAGGCTTACAAAGTGAGACTCTTGTCTCCAAAAAAAAAAAAAAAGTTAAATTCCAGCTTCGCTACACATTGGGAGGTCCCCTGCCTCCCTCCATCGTGTTCGGTAATTTGCTACAATTGCTCGCAGAACTAGGGAAACAATTACTTATCCTTATCGGTTTATTATTAAGGGTATTACAAATAATACAGATGAACAACCATATAAAGAGGTACGTGGGATGAGGTCCAGGGAGAGGGGCACACGTAGCTTTCATGTCCCCTCCAGGTACCTCAGTGTGTTCTTGTTCAGCCACCTGGAAGCTCTTCAACCCTCCCTGCACCTCGGTTTTTCTTTTCTTTTCTTTTCTTTTCTTTTCTTTTTGAGACAAGGTCTCACTCTGTCACCCAGGCTGGAGTGCAGTGGCACAATCTTGGTTCATGATAACCTCGCCTTCTTAAATCCCATTTTTTATCGTTTTTTTAGGAGGCATCATTGCATAGGCATGATGGATTATTAACTCAATCTCTAGCCCCTCTTACCTTCCCAAAGGATGGGGAATAGGGCTGAAAGTTCCAGCCTTCTAATCACAGCTTGGTCTTTCTGGTGACCAGACCCCATCCTGAAGCCCTGCAGAAGCCCATTGGGAGTCACCTCATGAGGATAAAAGATGCTCCTATCACCCAGGAAATCTCCCAAGGTATTAGGAGCTCTGTGGCAGGAACTGGGGGAGAGACCACATACATTTAACAGCCTGGAGTGCAGCGATGTGCTCTTAGCTCACTGCAACCTCCGCCTCCTGGGCTTAAGCCATCCTCCCACTTCAGCCTTCTGAGTGGCTAGGACCACAGGCCTGTGCCACCA